ATGCCTTGGAATACCGCTGAGTGTTAAGAAGGAAAGAACTACTGATACGCACAACAACACGAATGAATCTTCAGTGCATTATGCTAAGCGAAAGAAGCCAGATTCAAAAGGCTACATACTGTACGATTTCATTGATTTGACATTCTGGGAAAAGCAAAACCACAGAGACGGAGGGAGAGAAAACAGAGCAGTACTTTCCACGTCCTGGAAGTTGGGGAAGAGGCTGACTACAAAGGGAAGGTGAGAACTCTGGGGGGTGAGGGAGCTGTTCTATGTTTTGATTGTAGTGGCAGTTCCATGACTGTATTCATTTGCCAAAATTCATAGAAGCATATGCCATAAAGGGTAAATTTTAGGGGCCGGTCCAGTGGCATAAGCAGTTAAGTGTGCGCGCTCCGCTGCGGCGGCCAAGGGTTTGCCGGTTCAGATCCTGGGCGCGCACCGACACACCGCTTGTCAAGCCATGCTGTGGCGGTGTCCCATACAAAGTGGAGGAAGATGGGCATGGATGTTAGCCCAGGGCCAGTCTTCCTCAGCAAAAAAAAAAGAGAGAGGAGGATTGGCAGATGTTAGCTCAGGGCTGATCTTCCTCACAAGAAAAAAAAAAGGGTAAATTTTATTGTATGTAAATTAAACCTCCATATACTTGACTGAACAAAACAGGTGGCTCCCCCAAATATTCTTTAATTACAAAGGGAAAAAATAAAAACTTTACAGTGGAGAAACCCAGCAGACACTACCCTCACCAAGTGATCAAAGTTAATATCACTCATGATAAAACATATCAGCCTCATGGGCCCCAATATGATGTGATGAGAAGGGAACTTCATCTCTGTGATATTCTTCCCCTGCCCCCCCAAAAAACTTTATAGTCTTAATCTAATCAAGATAAAATGCCAGGTAAACACAAATTGAGGGACAGTCTATAAAATAACTGATCAGTATTCTTCGAAAGTTTTGAGGTCATTAAAGAAAGGGGAGAAAGTAGGAAATGAGCTCAGATTGCAGGAGATAAGGAGACATGACAACTAAATGCAACGTGGTATCCTGGGTTGGATCCTGGAATGGAGAAAGGACATTAGTGGAAAAGCGGAGACAATCCGAATGTCCTTCAGGCAATAGTATTGTACCCATGTCAATTTCTTACTTTTCACAAATACACCACGGCAATGTAAGAGGCTAACATTAGGGGAAGCTGGGTGAAGGATATTCAGGAACTCTGTCCAATCTTTGCAACTCTTCTGTAAGTCTAACAATATTTCAAAATTAAAAGTAACAAAAGGTATGTTATTATAACATGGGAATGACAGGAATGATACTGAGGAATGGGAGAGACTGACTGTGTTGGTTTCCTGTTGCTGCTGTAACAAATTACCACAAACTTAGTGGCTTAAAACAACACACATTTATTATCATACAGTTCTGGAAGTCAGAAGTCCAAAATGAGTCCATAGGGCTGGTTCCTCCTGGAAGCTCTACAAGAGAATTCATTTCCTTGCCTTTTCCAGCTTCTAGAGCCCCCTGCATTCCTTGGCTCATGGCCCCGTCCTCCGTCTTCAAAGCCAGCAATGTAGCATCTTCTCTCCTCTCTGACCTCCACTTCAATCTTCACATCTTCTACGAATCTGAGCTTCCTACCTCTCTCTTATAAAGACCCTCATTGGGTCCCACCCAGATCGTACGGGATAATCTCCCCAACTCAAGAGCCTTAATTTAATCACATTCAGAAAGTCCCTTTTGTCATAGAAGGTAACATATTCAAAGGTTCCAGGGATTAGGAAGTGGACATCTTTGGGGGTGGGGGGCGATCATTCTGCCTCCCACACTGATGATACAAGAGAATTAGGAGTGATGACAGGAGCAGAGTCTGCGGGTGGAACCGGGAGATGGGATCCAGGACACAAGGCAAGATGTTGGGCTTGGACTGGGGGGGGGACAGATGAAAAGCAGAGCATCTAGGCAGATGATAGAATGGGCTGTTGGAAGGTGAAGCGTTCTCGTAGCTTTTATGTTTTGAGTGGAATGAGGAGTGAGGTCATCAGCTGACTGAAGGTGAGAAGGGCCAGGGTGCTGTGGAGGGTTTGAGGAGAATGAAGATGGGTAACAGCCATCTTGAGGAGGCGGCAGGGACATTGATGAGGGCCACGTAGCGGGATTGCAGGCAGGGCTGGGGTTTGGGGTCCGGCCCTGCTCAGGGCCCCCTGGGAAGGCACAGAGTAGGTGAGAGAAGGATTTACTAGGGTTAGGGTTTGGCCCCAACAGTGCCCTGGAGGGGGTCATAGGCAAGGGAGTTAAAGACACACGAAAGGGAATGATTTTACGGATGGACTGTGGAACAGCGGAAGCAGAGGAAAGAGTAAAGGGAGGACAAGGTGGGGGGAGTCGGAGATAATGAAGCGGTAACAGGATCCATGCATTGTATGTGCTGGTGGGCTTGACAGTTTTTAAAATTCGGTTGATAGGAAAAAGGAGGGCATGGACATTGTGTTGTACACTTTAAATGGGTGAATTGTATGGTAAGTGAATAGTAGCTCAATAAAACTTTAAAAAACAAAAAGAAAGAAAGTGGGTGGCCAGGGTAGGGTGGAGGGCAAAACAGATGGAAATGGAGCGGGCAAAATAGATGGGCTTAGAGTAGCGAGAAGTCCCGTTCTGGTTATCTATTCCCGCGGTGTTTGTAACATACCCAGAGACTGCATGGCTGAAAACCACAAAGATCATTTATTTCGCTCACAAGTTTACAATCTGGGGGGAAGGCTTATCTCTGCTCCAGGAGCATCAGTGGGGGTTGCCTGGCTGGCGCAGGATGTGCTTCCAGGATGGCTCACTCACGTGGCTGCAGGTTGGTGCTGGTGATCAGCTGTGCGTTTAGCCAGGGCCAAGGGCCAGTACCCTAGCGTCCTCTCCACATGGGCCTTGCCAACTGGCCTGCAAAAGTGTCCCAAGGAAGAGGGTGGGGCGGAAAGTTGCCTTTTATGACCCAACCTCAGAAATCACATGCCATTCCTTCCCAGGGGGTCTGTTAGTTGAGGGAGTCACCAAAAGCTGGGGACATGGACTCCATGAGATAGGGTGTGGTAAGGCTCGGGACCACCTCATAGGACAAGAAATGTGGTCTTTCTTGGAAAAGACAATCCAGTACAGGCTAGGTTTCAGCAGGATCATCTATGGGGATACTAAAATTACTAAGAACTACGACAGTAGTTTTAGAGTGATGGATAGGATCTAAAATCTTCCGTGAAAGAGCGGGAGTAGTCACAAGGGAAAGGGGTGAGTTCATTAGGGAAGGACGGGAAGAGCTGTCCACGGAGAGCTTGACCTTCAGAGGAGCTGCGGGAGGTAGAACTGTCTGGAAGTGGCAAAGGAGAAGCACCCACCTTCAGGCCCAGTGGGCGGAGAGTGTAAGAGGCGTGGCTGCAGGGAGGAGGAGGGCTCAGTTCACACACAGAGTTTCGAGATCCACGAAGAGGGGTGTCTTTGTGGTCTCCGAGAATGAGAGACAAGAGGAGACAGAGAAGAAAGGAGACAGAGACCAGAGAGAAGGGGGGAGAAAAGACTAGAGAGATAAGGGGGACAGAGACCCAGAGAGAGGAATACAGAAATCCAGAGGGATGGTGACATAGCATCCCAGAAAGAAATTGTAGAGCGCCAGAATTCTCAGGGAGTTATAACTTTTAGTGTCTCTCTCTAGTCCCCCAGCAGAGGGCGCCCGGGACCCCATTCCCTGGAGTCCGGGTAACCAATCCCCACCACTTCCCCCCAAGCCCATCCGATAGGCTAGATGGGGCTATTTTTACGCGGTGTCACTGGACACCGGTGGCTGGAAGGCCATCGTCTGTCTGTCCTTCGGTCCCTTCGAGTGACCCTGCGGCATCTCCACAGCCCACCCCCCACCTGTTCCTGGTAGGCCCTGCCTCCTTCTGCACTATTCAGGGCTACAGCTCAGGACTTGCTGGATTCTCAGACCGTCTGGCAGAGAATTCAGGTGGAGACCCCGGGGAAGACCCTGGCGAGGGGACCGGGTGAGGTGCGCACATGCTCATGGTTTGCAGCTGCTGGAGCTTCTCCAGGACCGAGCAACCACTAGGATAGGGTCGGAGCCGACCTAGAGCGCTAGTCAGAAGAGAGATTCAGAGATATGACTCCGGAGACCCTGAGGGCTCCAGAGGTCCTGAGACAGAGATTCACGGTAATTCAGAGATACAGGGAAAGAAAGAGACCCAAAGGGGCGCCCCAGAGAAATCCAGGGACAGAGACACAGAGGGCTAAGAGATAATAAGAGAGAAGAGACCCAGAGAGACAAGAAGCAGAGAGACCCAGACAGAGCGGAGAGACAGAGAGCAAGGGAGACAAGAGATAAATAGAGACAGATCCCCGAGAAACAAGAATCAAAACAAAGACGGAGATCCGGAGACACCCAGAGACACAGAGACTGACAGAGACCCCCAGAGACACAAAGTCCTCTAGAACGGCAAAATTCAGAGGCAACTGACTCATAGAGATACTCAGAAATACATCCCTGGCAGACCCAAAGCGAAGCCAGACGCGGAAACATACAAGAGAACGAGAGAAAAGAGAGGTGGAAATTTGTGACTCCAACAGAGGGGCTCAGATATTCATAAAAAAGAGACAAGACACGCACATGGAAACCCAGAGACACGCAGGACAGCGATCCCGAGCGATAGAGAGACAGAGGGAAAGGGGGCCGGAAAGCGGGATAGACGCGGAGAAAGCGCAGCGCGGCGGCGGCCGGGGGGAAAGGCGGGCGCCCCGGCAGAGGGCGCGCGGCCGCCCTCTGCCCCGCCGGGGTCACGGC